GCTTTAAAATGCTCGACCTTTCTGTCATGCAGTCGTCGCTTTGTTTTGCCGATATAGAAAGCGTCACAATCCCAGCAGCTGGCTTTGTATACGACTTTAAATTTTTGCGAGCGATTTAAACGATCTTTGGAAGATGCGTGCTGTAGCATGCGAAACGTCAAGAAAATTTTAGATTGTTCTTCCAAACCATGCGTAGTTCATGTGTTATGTTTGTTACCGCTGTTTGCATTTTATTTCTTGTTAAATTGAAATGGCCAAAGAACAAGAGTGTTTATAATTGTAGCGTCATAGAATTTTCTTTGAAAAATAGCGATACTTTATTTGTATCAGTTTTGTTGAAAAATTAGATCATATTTCGATTCCATTAAACATCATATCAAATTATGAAATATTGAATAATCAGACACCATTATATGGCTAGTGTCTATAGCGGATATAACGCGCGCACTGATTGGCTAGTTCTAAGGTCGACTATTCTCCCGCTATGCCCACGGGCCGATTACGGGCCAGGAAAAACAAAGCAAAAGCCCTATAATAAACAGCTTATCAACCTCAAACGTTCGGTCTTTACGGGAAATTCTCAAACCTCCACCTTGCCGTATTGACCTCACTATCGCTTGGTCAATAGGGAAAGTCTTGGTTCGAGATTTTCCCCGTAAAGACCTCTCTCTCGGTTAATAAGTAGTTACGAATGCTAGTGTTACAAAGCTTGACCAAGTAGTTTAGTTTGTTTTCAAAACTCAACTCTGGGTCAGCTTCTGATTATTCAGTTGTAGTTAATTAGAATAAACAGAAAATCCCCCCCCCTCCCCCCCCAAAAAGACAGAATATGTAGGGTTCATGAGGGTGTCAATAGGGTTAACTGTTAGGAGTTAAAAGCACCACCCCATTGAGACCCTCGTTTATCGACACAATAAACCATCGCCGATATATAGTTAGAGTAACACTCGTAAAGGTTTCAGATTACTTGCTTCCAGATCGAGATCTACAATGAATCCTTTTTCGTGTTCTTCCAACTTGTTGCGTGATTTTAGCTGAGTTGAGCCTATGGACACGTTTTCACTCGCGTGGCCAGCAGTCATGCAAATTTATTGGAGCAAAAGAAATTGCTTACGTAAGGATAGAATTCATCTCCCACAGGACTGGTTTAGGACACCAACGTGGCCGCCGTTTCATTTTTTTGGGACGCTAGTATGGATGCCGTGACGTCATGTGAAAGCACTCAATGCAATCGAGCGAGTGATCTTATTAATTAATCGCACTGTAATCTATTAGCTAAGAGTATTACCTCGGGTAACAAGGATACATCATTCCATGGCTACACAAACTTAAGTCGCGACGAGACCTTATTTTGTTATTAAGGTTGATCTTAGAGTGGAGACAAAACTTAGCCTAGATAAATGCTGTTTTATCAGTTTTGTATAACGTAAATAGCTGCATGATGTGCTTAAAATGACATTTATAACAAAATAATAAGTTCTTAAAGGATCTCAGTCACTCTATTTTGAGGTATTTTGGCCACCTACAAAGTTACCTTGAAATTGAAGGAAAGCTGAAAATAATAGTTTACTAACATAGAAAAACGCCAAAGAGATACTAATAAACCATCAAGGAACAAGGGAGGCTAAGGATGGAGAAGATTGACACGAATTACGAACGACGAACTCGAAAAAATTTAGGCTAATTTTTTCAAGACTCACAAGCGGTGACGTAGGTCCTTTAAGTATAACTAACAAAGTGATACCTTATAAAATATTCTGGCATCATATTTGCAATTGTATTTTTAATGTTATAAGCTGCTAAAATTTACGTAGTGCCAAGCAAGTTTCATTTGTGTTTCAATTTTTAAGGGTTTTTTTTGTGTGAGTAGGACTGTCGAAATAAAACTGCCTCAGTCTAAATAACTCTTTGAGCCGGGTTTTTTTTAATGCGATGTATTTTTTATTTTTGGTTAACTCCACGAGCGGGAAAGATGAACAAGTCCCGCGCTGTGGTTGGTTACATTAGTGGGCATGATGGGGCCATCTGACCCCGGCACTAGGGATTACCCGCTGTGTCCCGCAAGAAAATGGTGTTCCTTGTGCCGTGTAATAAATCCTTTATTGACCAAGCATGTTCGGTCAAAATGACTGGATAATGACCTCAGTCTTTTATTTTGTGGTTAAGGACCACAACTACGCCCGAAACCTCGGACTGAAAAACCTTGGCGCCAATATTCAGCCATCTTGACCTCACGTTATTTGTGAATCAACCAACAGTAATCCTCAGCAGACAATATCCACGAGATGGATTTCATACTATTACGCAAAATTAGCTCCGAAAGCCGGTCTGTCGAAGTGAAAACATGAGTAAAGTGCACACTTCTCTACTAGAAAATTGGCTCGTCTGAAAACTGAGCCAAGAGTCAAATTTGTATGTCAAATTCCGGGATGTTCACTTCCTTTTCATGCTTGGTTTCAGAGTAGATAATAATAAATTCTTACTCGTTACTTGACATAACTACGCAAACCATTTGCTTTGGGTTTTTAGCGCGGCTAAATGATCTAGAGCTAGAATATTTTCATCTTTTACTTCTAGCCCAGAGTGAAGGCAAACGTTGAGAAATTTCGTTCACGCATCTGCCGGCCATCTTGGATTCGCGAAACGTATTGTACTCGCCCGATCAAAATGCGCGGATGAACTAAATTACTCTTACACTACTGCCTAACTACAATACTGAAAGCACGACATAGCTATACGGAACATTCACCAAAAATAACAAGAAAGCAGTTGAATGATTTGCGAATATTAACATGTTTTTCCTCTCGGTAATCACACCCCATTTGTATCGTAATGTGAAATCAAACATGGGGACTGTTCGATGCCGGGGGGGGGGGGGGGNCGTAAGAGGCACCAAGATTCTGCTTTGTGGGCGTGGCTTGAAATTTTTTTCACCCCTAAAAGGTACCAATTCTCAAACAAAACATTATCTCCTGTCACATTTTTTCTTTCGTCTCGATACCCTAAAAGGGTCCGCAAAAGCGCCTGCTGTGGACCTTTTGTAGCTGAACACCCTAAGAGGTACCAATACCGCATTTTTACCCCTAAGAGGTACGACGAGCCCCCCAGCGTCCCTTTTACACGGGAGTCCCCGCGGAGTTCGTCAATAACATTTTAGGTGTATCTGATTGTCAATTTAATTGTGCTGCCGTACAGCCCAAGCTAGCCCATGCATTACACAGGAAAACGTGTAATACGTTTCCTCTTCTGTCTTTTAGTTTCTTTTTATTATCCCTTTATTTCCTCTTTAAGAGCCAGTAAAGCCTGTAAAGCCTTAACAACTCTTAAATCGGACCTTGATGAACAAGCTAAAGAAGTAGCGGTAATCGGTTTTTAAACTAAGCTATGCCCTTCGTCATGAGACTGGCGATCGTGACACATTAAATCTTATCGGAATGAGTTAGACGCTTGTAAACGCCTAAAATGCGCATAAAAGCGCGTTTGAAAGTCAAAAGGTTAACAACCCATCATCATGTTCATAAAAGGCAATGAATATCGCGGGATAAACACACAGAGCGGAAGACTTGCCCACTTTATGTGCTACGTCTGTCTCAGCGTCCGACTGTTTCCCGCCAAAAGTTGGACATTTAATCACGAGACAACGAAAGTAGTTGTGCATTTTATGTTTTTCAACGAAACATTTTAAAAAACAAAGGAAGAGCAGGTTACTCATGGGATGTTTTACGTCAGTTTTTAGGTCAAAGTTCGCGTTTTATGAATGACGTTCATATGCGTAAGGCCCAACAAGAAGATTTGGTTTCCTGCTCAAAGAGGTCAATTCTGAAGTGATATTCAATACTTTCCTAAACGTCTGGGATCGCATGTTGCTTGCTATAATTACAAGCTTTCCCGGCGGCGTTTATAAACATCGTCAGCTAGATGCTAACACCGAGGAAATAAGAAGATCACAGCAACAATACATCCTGCTAATTAAAACCACACCGTGCAGTCACAAGTCAATATTTTACAACTTTGAGGTAAGCACAGTTTTCTTCAGCTGTTTGTATTTTATTTATGCTGGCACATTTTAGTGATTTTACCAATCATGTCTGCTCAACAAAACGTGTTGAAACTAAAATTTTGACATGTTTTAGATCGCTTCATCGAAAGGTCTCAAAAAGCACACTAACTTTGTTCAATAATTAACCTTCATCCTTACTTCACTGCTTTTGACTCAAAAGTTTGACAATCTGTTCGGCAGAACTAGTCTCGTTTTTTCGCGACATTACGCCGATTTCATTGGCCAGAAGCTTTTATGAGAAGCAAGTGTCGTTTTAAAATGAAAATTTTAAAAAGGCAATAACATTTCCAAGGAAGGTTAGTTGGAAATGTATATGAAAGCCGCTTTACGCAAACCTCGTCAAAGAGTTTGGTTGACCGCGTATAAATGTGCAGTCAATGTTGTTTGAGAAAACGTACAGGAGCATGAGAAGGCGGATTTCATCATTGTTGACAGAAATCAAAACAGAGATCCCAGCTATGCTAATCGACACGAAGGTTTTACATGGACAGTGACTGCTGTATAAAACATGCCGATAGTGCGAACTAGTACGCAAAAAACGAAGGCTTCTCGGCAGATGCCAGCATGTGTGGAAATATAGTTATGCCTAGAGATGACGCGAACTTCTTTCAAGGGCTGAAGTATTTTAATGTTAAACACTCTAACATCTGTGAACGTTAACTACTAAAATAAACTAAAATTTGTAGGATTGCTGTCGTCAAATCCATTCGTGGGACAGGTGTAGCACAAATTCCAAGTCTGATGGTGTTGTCAAAACTTCTTTGATAAGCGATTGCATACCTGTGAATGAAGTCAAAAGAACAACTCATTGTCCTGGATGTATAGGAAGAATTTCGGAATTTTGATAAGGCATAATTCCTAATTGTCAACGCAAAGTAGATTATCTTGTTGAACCCTCAATCATTTGGACTAATCAGCTCATTTGGTCCAAACCTTTATACCATATCACAAGCACAAACGCAATCTTTCCGTAAGAGGATAAAACGCTTAGCTTGTATTTCCTCGGCCGCTTCTAGAGACACGTTACAGAGCGTAACCGATGAAGACCATGCGGCAATCGAGCTTTTATACAATGCCATTTTCTGTTTACGTGACTGCGACCACATCTCACTACCTCTAAGTGTTCTGAAAGACAGATTTCCGACAAATTCAAGAGATGAAAAACAACAGTTGCCATGCACCCATCTCTCATTAAATAATTTTCAGTCGATTTTTTTAGAAATCTGGCGTTTATAAATGTCGCGGATGGGGAAAATTTGTAGAGAGTATATCCTTTCAGTAATGGCGCCATCCTGTGCCGCGATTCAGTATTTTGTTGTTAAGGGTTTGTTTTAAAAGAGTTGAATGAGCTTTATGTAAACAGAACCTCCCAAAATCACAGATCGGTTTAAGAAACCACAGGAAGGAAGCATTGCAGACTTCGAATACTTCCGACGAGTTTGATGTCTAGCGTTACTCACGTTATGACCGACATACTATACACCGACGGTCTAGATACCTAACTTATTGACTACAGTTCAATATCACTTTGTTACGATCAAATATGACGAGGTTGTATTACAATAAATCACACCGAAAATCATTCTAATTCCTCTTCAACTGTACTACACTGTCATGTGATGACCGTCAACGTCATTGATTCAAATTGATTTATGCTGCACCTGAAGATCTCAACTGCTTTTTTGTTAATTCATCCTTGGGTATCGGACCTAAGAGGTTTTTAAATAATTTTAAATTGGCCTTTTCCACTCACAACGTTTTTTTGAGCAAAAATTTCTATAAAAGAGAGAGTATTCTGCCTTTCATTTTGGGTGATCGGAAATTGTCGTATTTCCGCAAAGCTCATGGAAGATTTCTGATCTTTTTAACCAGTACTTACAGAATAAATAAGTAAATATGCCGGGTTATTAAGTCAAGAAGCTCAAGTAGAGGATACACGTGTTAAAGGAACTACGTCTTGGTTTGTGTATCCTGAAAAGCTTAGCGTAAAATTTTCAGGGTCTTCGCTTGTAATCCGTGTCAATCTTCTCCGTGCTTAACTTTCCTTGTTCGTTTATGGTTTATTATTATCTCTTTGGTGTTTTTGCATCTTCGCAAACTACTATTTTCAAGTTTCCTTCAGTTAAAAGGTATTTTTGGACGCGGCCAAAATATCGCGACTGCGTTAAATTCTCTTCCTGGGAATTAGCGGTGTTTTTCCTTGAAGTATATGCTTTATTGCCAGCATAAATAAATTGATACACGAACTGCTTTGCATTCCAAAGAGAACAGCTTGGCGCAGCAACCAATTAACCTTTCTTACGGTTAAGTTGGGATACATGTGAAAATATTTCAGTCATTTTTGTGTTATCAGTTGTTATTTCTCCTCTGATATGATTTGACAGCTTAATATTATTACTACCAGCTGGCCACTTATCAATATATTGGCAATATCGGTTAGATTGTCGCTGAGCCATCTATAGCTGATACTAGATAACAATTTTTTATACATTTTTTAGTGGTCAGTTACAATTTTGGCAGCAAAGTATCGTATGGCTAACTTTTCTGCGCCGACAAAAGAAAAAACTAAGAAGAAAACGAGGTAGAATTTTTTTGAACGGCTTGACAAAATTTCGTTGTATTGATGAATAATGCGGGATAACCACGACAATTGAAGCTTGCTAAATAAACGTTTGACATGAAATTAGGAAATGCCCCGTCCACACTACTCCAGAGGAATTTGAAAACGGAGGTTCCACTCTGAAAGCGTATCAAATGTTTTCGTCGGAGGAATTTAAAAACGAAACAATCACCCGTCATTTTGGATTTGTGTTCGAGGAAAATTCGTGATTATCGCGACGTCATCGTTTTCGAAAAGCTCGGTTTTCAAAACGTTCTCCGTACACATTAAAACGAAACGTGTCGTTTTCAAATTCCTCCGGTTTGAAAAGATTTTTCCAAAAGCTCCGTTTTCGTGACGGATTAGTGTGGACGATGCCTTGAGCTGGCGGAAAGAAAACTGAAAACTTTTCTCGGTAAGCCATGATCCGTGGCATTGCACTTATGTCAGTATTCTTGATTTGTTTCTAGGTACACATAAGTAATGAAAATAATGATAAAACAATGATACACGGTACAATGGCCATTCCTTCCTGAAACAATAAAATTGCAGCTGGTTGTGTTTTCAATCTGCAAATTGAATGAGTCGTTTTAAGTTCGGAATAATACAATAAGTTGAATAAAAGAGTAATCGCGCGTATGATCAGAATTTGTTATGTCACTTCGGCTTTATAACCTTGTTTGTCAAATCAAAGTCCTAGAGATTTATTTGCTTCATGCACACTTCCTCGTACAATCTCGTAGAGTTGTGAGCAAGCAGTTCCTCAGCAGCGGCATGTTTAACCTTCTATTAATCTTCTAAAAACCGCATTCAACACTCAACACTTGACTTTATAATTATTACGAACAAACAGTAATTAATGCTCATTCATGTATTCTCTAGAAACGCCTATATAACGGGGCATATCACTGATGATCACTGATGTGTCGTTTAGCTCAAGGCAAGATAACTGTAAGTTAATTCCTGACAACAAATTTATCGACTCATGGGTAGATAAGGGTTTCAGTCGTGCCATACGATGTTTGGAAGACTTCTCATGAGAGCCTTTGTTGTCCAACTAACCAATGTAAGTACGTAATATCACTTACGGCACGTGACGTGAAAACAAGGGCTTTAGACAGGGCGGTTATGCAAATCAATCTCAATGAATTGACCACTATAAATATCGGATCAATGCTTTGTTTGCATTATTTTTTTCAGCCGGCTCGCTACAACTGCCTTAACTCAAGTAGAACGCGCGCCCGCCAGAAAGGAATCGCCCAGACGGATTGCCTTAGCGAGATGAACACTCTTCTCTCTTCTGTTTTGACTTCACTAGTGATTGCTATATTCTTAGCATTCCCGTCCAACGTCGCTGGGGCCCCCAGGCAACGAACTGTCAATGACCACGACGGTAAGGAAATGTCATTGCTTGTTATATTTTAGCGATCAGTGTAAAGCTTTCTGTACTACGCTCATATTCAGTTTATGTTCTTTAACCCCATATCCCTCTATCGCTCGCCCTGTGTTCCCATAAAAGAGTGGGGCACATTACAAAGGGCTGTTACATCATAATAGTACCAGAAAGCTAGTTTCATGTTCTCAAAAGTGCTCTTAAGTTCCCTCTACGATCTATCCTAGTTGTGAAACACACGTAACGAAAAACCTCAGTCATTACATGAAAAGGTTGTACAGCGAACAGGACTTCGCGGACATATTTCGCTGAAGAGTCAAAATGCAGCCGTGAATCTCGTTGATATTTTTGATAGTTTTGTTATTTACTTTCATTCTGCTACACTTATTATAATTGGATCCAACATTCGATGGCCTCATCACGCAACCTAGCCATTCAAGTTGTTTGGGGCATGTTTTTGCCGTGTCGAATTTAATTCAGTCCAATTTGTTCGAAGCACAATTTTATGATTCAATCTTAATCGGCTAAAATTTTAATCTGTCGCAATAGTGGGGCACTTAATTAATTTATTTTCTGTTGACACAGCTGCATGTCGCATGTGAGCAAATAAAACACAATTAATACACGGTGCACTTAGATTAAGCACTATAAATGCATTGACATTTAAACAGAGCACCGAAAAAATTGAAGGCGGGATTAGATCTTCTTGCATGCTGTCGCCCGACGTTGTAAAAGTTCAGAAGCATCTGTTTGAGCCTCTAAATAGTTCTGGGGTACTTTAAGCTGACTTTACGTCAAAAGAACAGAAATGGAACGTTTGAAAGTTAAGATAGCTGTCAAGTTTCGACGGAAACATTAGTAAGATAAAGGAGTTTGAGTCTGATGTAGATATAAAGACAAAAGTGTCAAAATACATGAAGTCGGGCATGAAAGTTCATCAAATGAGTAGCTATCAAGACCGGATCTTAGCTCTCTCAGTTTACCGAAAAAGAAGAAAAAGAAATCGTTCACCACGGTAAAGGAAGGAGGTGACCTCAATTTAAGGAGTTCCCTTCCGAAGATGTTTTTCATACAATATTGGCGCGCGGAAAACAATACTACACTGACAACCACAGCAAGTGTAGCCTTCGTAGAAGTTGTGTTATGTCTGAAGCTAGTTCGAGCATAACTAATTATCCCTTGGTTTTGATTTCTTTATGTTTGCGTGTCAGCGTATTAATTTAAGAGAACGTGTCAACTATTTTAAGCATGGTATCTGGAATTTCAAAACACGAAAATAATACGATACTTCGCAAAGCCTCTGCAAACTCGAACTTCTTCAGAAAGGTTGTAAGTTTTCATACTCGATAAATGAGACTTAGTTAGAAGCTTTTAGAAAGAATTTATCTTCTCTGACGACGTCAGGCGAATGAAAATAGCTGCTGTTGCACAATTTTGACGGCGATTCAGGCAGACGAAAGATAAGGTCTGTCGGCCTGTCGGTTATTAGTAGCTGCGAACAATTTGAACGATGAAGCTCAACCATGGGCGATCCAGACCTAAGGTCAGATTTATTGAATGTTTTTCCTCTGAGTCGCAATTTCTTTAATTTGCCGTATGATTATTGACCTTGTTATATGGACACATCTTTCTACACTTGCAATCTCAATCCTAGAACTTATCTACAATGCGTGCCTTAAAATATCGTCTATAAGTCTGACCTGGCGGGTTCAGATATGGCCACAAGCTCCTTTCATCGCGACAGATTCGAACTGATTTGAAGCCGTACCCTTTGTTGTGGGGGATAAACTTGCTGAATTATCGGAAAATGGACACCTGGACAAATCTATTACATTAAATGTATAGTACACGTCTATCGAAGTATAAAGACTAAAATGAAGACCTCTTCGAGACATCAGCGTAATGCGTGATTCTGTATTTGAATTGGTCAGTACAGTAAGCTGAACTGAGGCACTATGGTCAATATTTACACAGATATCAACGCGGATTTTCGGAGATGGAAGAGCTTTCAATGGGATTAACATTTCTGTAACAGTATTTTGAGTGGGGAAAAGTGTTTTAATCGCGTTCTGATCATGGCACGCAAGCGGGTTCTAGAGGGCTGGGAATAAGGAGCAAACTACAAGCAAATTACTGTGATTCACCGCATGGGCGTTTTCCCGCGCGGGTTGCATGTTTTTCCCGCGCTTTACACAGTTTGCATGTTTCCCGCGCCCGACACGAATTGAGTGCTTTTGCTTCGAATTATGATTGGTTAATTGTATTACTTGTTTTTGTTGTTCCTGATTGGCCAGAAAAGAAAAGGCTGAATTTGCTCATCCCAAAAACCAACACAAGCCCCTAGTTTTAGATGTCTTGGGAAACATAATAATTGGACACGAAGTTCTTAGTAAGAACGATTGAGGCTATACTATGTCAAAATGAGGGAAACCGACACAAGCAAACAAGATTTACAAGGGGACGAAATCATCAGCGTTTAGGCAGATTATCTTTTCACACCATAATTTCCGTTTTTTTTACTTTTTCTACCTCACAGAAGTAATTGAAGGTGACATACTGGTGACAGAACCTCTTAGAAATGTCCTGAAGGCGGGCAATTCAAGAGCCAAGCGTGATATTGTTAGCGACATGGTTAAGAGGTGGCCGGATGGAGTGGTGCCTTACAAGCTAGACTCTAGCCTCAGTAAGTGCTTATTTCGTATATGGTATCTTGTATAAGAAACCATTATAACCGGTGCCACTGGCGACAAAGTAAAGACTAGGGAGTTTAAGGAAACCACGACGGCAACGGCAACGGCAACTTCGAACGTCGCTAAATAAAAGATTTAATGATCAGTAAAATGTCTGTGCGTGTGTTATAATTCTTGGTAGATATCTTTGTCGTCGTCTGCAAAACAACGACGTGACCTAGTTTCGTGATAGTTTAGACAGTGATAAACAAAGTACATGACTCGAGAGTACCGCGAGATTAGTAGGTAAAATATTAAGTCTTTTTTTTACCGACGTTGTCCTCGGCGTCGCCGTCGTGGTTACGTTAACTCCCTAATCTTGTGTAGGCCGCACAGCAATTCCATCGCCAGCTATCGCCTTGCTCAGTCGTAGTGGGCCTATTCTATCTGGCGTCATTCCGGTTTAACTGAACAAACCGTTCGCTTGAAGAACGATTGTTCGTGCTCTTTCTAGCAGATTTATACGAGGCACTGTGACATTTTGATATACTGAGCAAGGGAATAGGTATCTTAGCCAATAGTCTTTAGAACCTCTACAAAACAGGTAAACTATATCTGTTTTTAAACAGATATAGTTTACCTGTTTTGTCATGAGAGGCCTATAGAATTTCTTTGAATTGAAGTTGATCTCTTGTGAAACAACATCCGGAACATGCAAACCTTAATTGTGCGCGGCAGTCCGCCGCAACTTCTAGTATTAAACGTGTGCGTGATAGAGATATCGAGAAACACCGGTTAGACATCATTCCTGGGTGGCCATTAACTCTCAAACAACGCCTGCGTTTCCTGACCTTGCGTGTTTCAGGTCCGGTCGTCATTATACGCAAGCACATGTACTGAATTTAATTGAATTTCTAATAAATTCACGCGCTGTTAGTTAGGAGTGTTTGGTAACAGAAGACTTTCTCATGTCACGTGTTCAAGCGCGACCGTCCGATTCAGAAACGTTTCTAGTTCTCTAACACAATATCGTAGAGTTAATTTGCAGAAGTGGCTCGTTTAGGTGTAGATTTTAAGTAGTAAGTGGTTTCACAATTTGCCCCGCTGTTGTCACGAGACAAACGGGAGAGCGTTGTACGTGCTTTCCAGACTGGAAGCCACAAGTGTCTTACGTAATGTCCTTCTCTTTTAAATTTATTCTCGATGTATCTACTTTTAAACGAGCCCGCAGGCTATTCTAGCTTCGGGCAAACGTGAAGTATTAACCTCGAAGACAGCAAAAAAGATGGAGCACAAGCGCTCGTTCTTTACCTTACATCGCCGAGGGAGACGAAAAAAAAGCAGTACGCACACACAACTGATACAACAAAGCAACACCAAACGCAACCAACGCCATTTTTCTGCGCGATTTTTTTCAAGATCCTAGAGAAAAGTGAAAGACTGTTAAGTCGAAAATGTTTGTTTTTTAGTCGTATCTACTCTCGATCGGGGTGGACCGAACTAAAGCAGTTCTGAAAGATCTTTCTATATCAGCATAAAATTTACGTTGCTCTGTTTCGATATTTGGTCATGAGTGGGCCCGCTGAACCTTGACAAGTGCGCAGCAGCGGGCAGGGGATTTATTGGAGAAATTTATGTGATACGGATTAATCAATGTTATTTATAAGTCTCCCCGCTCAAACTTGTAAATTACAAAACACATTGTGCCTCTGACACTTTCCTTTCCCATTCACCCCAGCTACGTTTAAATTTAGTCTGAACATTTTGAATCATCAGACTAAGCTACTTTTGTTTAGTTAACTTACGAGTCTTTTCTCGTTGTACAGATAAAGAGGCCTTCAAAGCCATTAGGAAAGCCATACGCGAGTTTCACAAAAGAACTTGCGTCAAATTCGTTCCTCACACCGACGAACACGACTTCGTGGAATTCCAAGGAAATTATGGGTAAGAAATCATTACTTGTTTTTCACTTTGTTGTAATTAAACCTAATCGTACCTTTTTGTTACGCTTCGGCGGCATATCAGGCGAGTTTGGTCGTGCCATGGTTTGTATTTTGACGAGACGTGGTCAAGCCAAAATACCCATGGCGAGACCAAACGAACCTGATACGCCGCCTAAGCGTAACAAAAAGGTACGATTAGGTTATTACTTTACTGCACCCAAATTCGGCCAGGTGAGCACGATATCGTAGCCATATCAGGTCGTGACCTGATATCGGAGGATATCAGAACCGTAGACACGGCTTCTGATTGGCTAATTGCAAATTTAAGTACGGTAATTATTGTTATCGAATGATTTGTATTGTTTAATTTGCTTTGTTTTAACCAGACCAAGTATTTTCTTTTCTGAGTGTTGCTCATACACAACTCGTTCCTTTTTTCTCCCCTTGTCTTAGTTGTTTCTCGGCAATTGGCCGTCAGGGAGGAAAGCAAAGAATCTCTGTTGGAGAAGGATGTGAATACAAAGGAACTGTTATGCACGAGATGATGCACGCTCTGGGATTCTTTCACGAACAGTCTCGCACTGATAGAGACAATTATATTATGGTATTATGGTGGAATATTGAGCCAGGTAATTATCATAAATTAATGTTTCATTGCCATAACTTGATTGACATACATTATCTTAAAGTACCTGATTTTGGCTTTTGTTTCTCTAAAACTATTCTCCATGTTTATTCCACTTCAAAAGGATTTGAACAGAACTTTGACAGTTACGGTCCAGACCGTGTGGACAGCGCCGAGGAACCGTACGACTTTGACAGCCTCATGCACTACGACAACCAAGCCTTCAGCAAAAACGGCGACAACACACTGCAGTCGATATCAGATCCTAACAGACCCCTGGGTAACATGGACGACTTAAGCGTCATCGACATCAAGCAGTTATTAAAGTATTATCCCTGTAAACCTTGGGATAAGAAGCCTCCGATTAACGGTGACACCAAGAAAGACAAATCTGAAGAACGTAAGTGGTTAAATAGTTGTCAGCGATCTTTTCAACTTAAAGGGACTACGTTACGGTTTGCGATTCTTGAAAAGTTTAGCCTAAATTTTTCAACTTCGTCATTTGTAATCCGTGTCAATCTTCTCCATCCTTAACCATCCTTGTTTCTTTATGGTTTATTGTTATCTATATAGTGTTTTTCTATCTTAGTAAACTATTATTTTTCAGGTTTCCTTCAATTTAACGGTAATTTTGTACTCAGCCGAAATAACTCAAAATTCTGTGACTGAGAGCTCCATTAACTCCCAAATAGAAATTGTGTCAAAACTTCTCTGCTTCATAAGAGTTCACATTGTTGTCGTTGACGTACGTCAACAACAACGACGACAGCCAACGAAACTGAGTCAGGGAGAGGCTGGTTCTAGATCTCGCAGGATCCTAAACTTGTGGTAGTCATTGACCATTGACGTTCGTCAATTTAAAATTCAGTTATTTCCTTTTATCAGGTAAATGCCAAGACGTTTTCAAAAGAAATTGCAAATATTTCGCATCTCACAATGGATACTGTACCCACTGGATGTCATTTATGAAGAAGTATTGTCCATACTCGTGTGGCTTTTGTAAGACGGCGGCGCCAGGTCAGTTTTAGTTCAAGAATTTATGCATGCTGGCATAAGGTGAATGTAGCAAAACATGTTAAAACAGTGTGAATCGCAAAGCGAAGTATTTAGAGGGAACAGAAGAAGGGGGAATAGCTTTTTTTTCACTTCTTACAGTCATTCGACATTATATGAATGACCAAGTAACTCGCTAACGTTTACAAGCTGCTTAAATAGAGTTAATAGGAAATTATCGTCCTGAATATTCAATGTGGACTTTTGTCATTTACAGATAAACGCCTGAATATATGGAAAGGAGAAACCCACACCAAATAACACACGTGCTCCGTTATAAACATATTTAGGGAGTTCAGGGCGATCTTTGCAGTCACGTGATGTTACAGCACAACTAGCAACCTCACCCTGACCACTGTTATCGCCGGCTGCTGACTCATCTCTTTGCAGCAAGAAAATCTCTGCATCACCATGCATTGCAAAGTACATGAAAAATTTCTCTTAAAATCATCTAATAGCTTCATTTGGAAAGGAGTCCTATAGTGAACCCTGTAACCAAAAGTTCTTTTATACGTATGGAAAGTACAAAGAAATATATACATATTAGCTAGAGTTTTAACATAATTCTCTTTTAATAATAACTCCATTCATTTTTTTACGATTTATGAACACTGATTGAAAATATGTAGCAAATGAAATACCAAACGTTAACGTTCATAACTTTAACTTTGTACCTGAAAACACAAAATATTTTGCTAGTTATTCGCCAGTTGAGCATGCATATAAAATAACAATAGCCATTCACTTATATGGGAAATATCGTATGATATTAACTTCGGTTTCTAGTTATAACAACATTGCATTCATGTACCATATTGTCTGTGGGGAAGTGCACTGTAAAAACTTCTAGGTTTGTAACTAAGGTAAAATGAAAACGATGCTGCCATAATGTTCATGTACAGTTGTATATGCCTCCCCTTGTATTTGACATAATTATGTATTATACTAGATTAATTTATTGTTCAATATTTGAAGAACATCCATCTCTTATACACTGTATTTATGTCCAGTTGAAAGTATCAATTTATTTTCAATGGACTTGGATCGATATATTTAACTTTATTTTCTGGAGTTTAAGTTATATTACATACAACAAAAGGCTGTATGAGTTAAGGACTCATATTTTACCGAATAAAGTCAAAGACAAATTTAGTTACAGTATTTACAGTTATTGATTAATACATAACACAAGAGAGTGCATCAATCTATACTATGAGCAATTATAAGGTGGAATAATTCTTTACATATCATTATCATCATCATCATCGTCCTCGTCCTTGTCATCATCCTCGCATTGTCATTGACATCATCATCATCATCATCATCATCATCATCATCGTAAATTATATCCAATATTAGCTCCTGTCTGCATTTTATACCTGGGATTTTAGGTTAGCAGGCTGGAATATCAAATCTTATTGATCTGTTCATCTCTAGTACACTGTACACTGTACATCCATGGGCATATGAGTAATTTGTCCTTTCCCAATACATGTCTTGATCTTGCTCAAACTTTCTTCCGTACCCTGGCTATTTATGTTTGTTAAATCACATCAGTGATAAATATTTGACCACCATGTCTTTGGAGAAAGAGAGGGCTGAAAGCTTCTGAGCCTTTGCCAGCCAGTGCATGCCATGATTTGGCCTGGACAACTTAAGCCGAATATAATGATGATTCAAAGGGTAGAACACCTCTACAACCCTGTGATCCACAACAGCAACTCTTTGGTTCCTTCCCAAAGTCTCTTAAGAACTCCAATCCTTTTACATGTTCCCTATTTGTTTCAGCTGCAGGCCAGACATCAAATTCCCCTGAATAGTCAAATGATAACTCTTCCCCAATGTCAATGTTTCTGGCTGCAAAGAGGGCTAGTCTGGGAACAATGGAATCCACTCTCACTGGCACCATTATGAGATTAGGGCTGCAAGAGTGATTCACAAACCTTGATGCATTACCATGGAAATGAGCATCTACGTGAGTTCTTAACACCTGGGCTTTGGAACTATGTTCTCTGAGAACTATAAGATAGTTCCCAGTCTCGTGAGTCAATTCCTGTGCACGCTTTTTAGCTTCTTGAATTGAAATCAGTTCACCAGCATATTCACACACAAAAGTAAATTTCTTAATGCTTTCAAGAGTTCTCAACCCCCATCCTTTATGCTCTGTTCTGAATACCTGAAGATAAAGTTGCTGTCCCTTCTGAACCACTCTGTTTGGACATGATCCTGAACAAGCACAGCGACTGTTACATTCAAACACTGGTTGGCAGTAATCTACATTGTACAAATGCGAAGACTGATTTATGATTCATAAACACAGAGCAGATCAGGAAATTCAGAGACAGGGAGACATATCAATTCATGCAACAACTTAGGGTTGCAGGGGTATGTACAACTTGACCCCAATCCCCCTCCCTGCCAAGGTCCCAGGAAAATTAAAGCACATATAGATTCTCTTACAGTAGGCTCAATTTTGTACATCCTGAGTGCATCTGTCCTGAAAAGGGTTAAGACTTTAAATGACGTAGTAAATGTATTCTAAACTTCCCAGACAAAAGGGCAGGGGTACACTTGTCACATTTGCTACTTCCTCGTATTATTTAATTTAACAGTGAACGAAACTCAACGAAAAACACACAATAAAATTTAAAGCCATCTTGACAAACGGTAATTGTAAGTTATTTTTGGGCCTTGAAAGAAACAAACACACTGCTAAGGTTATGCCTTATCCAGTTTTTGTCCACTCATATTTAGTAAAGGGGAAAAGGCCTAGTTGACTAGCAAGGGAGAGAACAGCAGGGGTGAGGACCTGTGTGACTACAGTACCAGAGCCATAAATTATGCTCTGCACTATCTGAGATTGTCACACTAGTTTGGAATAATTATCCTCTTTTGTTTCAGAGATATTTACGTTTTTGTATTTTGCAAATGAGGAAAGTGATGATGTCATAAATTGGTCCACTAAAACAGTAGAAAACTGAATCAAGAATATCTCTAGAAATATTAGAGAGGTGTTCTTCAAACTTGGCACCAGAATTGTACATCAAAAAAACAAAACAAAATGATAGCAGTTGTGCTGTTCCCATGACAATAGTTTTGTCGCTGCTCCTGTGTTAATTAAGACTGAAATTCTCAGTTTCTGTCTTAACCAAGGATCATCCACTCCCAACAATCTCATGAGTAGAGTTAAGACAATATGGGCACCATGTATGTTCCAAGAAGAACCCTCTGTCCCACTTTAAAGGGTTGCAAATGGGGATATTTTTTGACAGAAAGAGGCTGGAGCCAAGTTTTAGTTTGAAAAGCCTTTCAAATAAGCAGCAGTTATTTTTTACTTCATAAGCACTTTAAATCTATCTACATGTGATTAACACTATCAGTACTAACTACTTATTTAACCAGGTGTGAGGTCTTTATGGGAAAATCTCTCGTTATATTCATTAAGTGAAAGTGAGGTCAATACAGCAAGGCAGAGATTTGAGATTTTCCTGCTAAGACTGAAAGTTTGAGGTTAATAAGTAGTCTTCAATACAGCTTATAAAAAGCTGTTTGGCTGTTTCCTTGGTCCTGTCTGGCACCAACTCATTCATAATATAATGTTATGAATTTGCTGTCCTCAGAGTGTTCATCACTCAATGTTTTCACAAATTTCAGAGAAAAAAGCAATGCTTTTTTAATTACCCTTAGTTTGGTTTTGCAGGCCCATAATCAGCTTGTGGGCATTACTGGAGATTATTATATGGCTTTGGCTTGTGGCCGATATAACG